AGTGAAATAGGAAGACAGACAAGATGTCATGCAAAAGAAGGGGTTACCAAACAGTATACACTATGATTCTGTTATTGTTTTATAAATACTGTGCATTAAGAAAATTAAGACTATATTCTGAAATGTTAACAATGGTTATCTTCAGGTAGGAGTCCAGATTATTTTAATTTTCTTTCTTTTGCTTAGCTGTGTTTTCTAAAACGGGCATTTTGTAAAACAAAAAACTAAGCTATAAAAAAATAATGAGTCACAAGTTCCTCACTTCGTTTTCCTTTAAACACAATTCTACCAACTGTAATTATCAAAATTCAAAACCCACAAAGCTTAACAGCATTTAAACCAGAAGAGGGCAGGAATGTAGCTGGTTGACAAGTGATGCCACAAAGTTGGAGACAGAATAACGACTTAAAATCTGGCATCAGAACTCAAAAAGTTCAGTGGTCTTAGGGTTTTTCACAATAACTTTCATACAACTGTCAGCAAGTCATCCAGGAAAAGATCAAATTCGTTGGTGTTTTAAGAATGGATGTAGGGCATTTTCCAAGAAGTATTTGCACTGCCCGACCCAAATGCTTAGAATGTCGTTGCAAGACAGAGTATAAGCCTCACGTTTTAGAAATTCTGTCCTCAGTGACCAGGGGAGGGTTGAGTTCCAGGCAGCCAAGCAAGGTCTTCCTTATTGAAAAGACATGCTTTGAGCCAATTCAGTCACAGGAAATATTAGGATTCCTTTAAAATGAGAAATTCCAAAGGGTTCTGAGCTTTGGGGACCAAATGGTTTTTAAGAACAAAATTCCAAAGCATTAAAATGCTAAATGAGTTCGGGGGTTTATTTAAAAGCAGCATGGAAACAGCTGTACGGTGATATGATGTCTGCTAATTGACACCATTAGCAGATTGCACATCGGCAAATGCGTCCTCTTGGAGGAAATACTGTAAATTACATTCCTGCCCATGGACACCTGACCGGAAAAAAAACAAAAAAAACAAAAACCCTGTTCTAAGACCCCAGATCCCATCTCCCTATTATGCTTCACCTCTAGTAGTGGAACCCGGGTTGAGACTAAGTGGTCCGGGGGAGGCCGCGGAAACCAGGCCAGGCGCGCTGACCGGCCGGCGGGCAAGCAGGAGACCTGGGGCCTTCCAAGACCAGAGGGCGAGCGCGCAGAGCTGAGACTGCGGGGCGCCCGGGCGGAGCGCGCCTGCCC